TCGGGCCGTTGTTCTTCAACGAAAACGAAACAGTCGATGGAAATCGATATCGGTGGATGTTGGTTCATTATGTCTGCCCACAAATTCGTGAAAAAGGTCCTGATGGTTACTGGTTTCAACAAGACGGTACGCCATGCTACACTGCAAATGAAATAATCCAGTTTCTGCAACGAAAATTCCCCGAAGGTCTGATGTCAAAAAGAGGTGACATTGAATGGCCACCCAGGTCTCCAGATTTGACCCCACCGGACTTCTTCTTGTGGGGTTATTTGAAAAGTCAAGTGTACGCCACCAAGCCCCAGACTACTGAAGAACTCAAGGCAAATATTCGTACCGCAATCGCCGCTATACCGCCATAGATGCTCGAAAAAGTAATGGAAAACGCAGCAAAACGGGCACATTTTGTTTTGGCCAATAAAGATGTTGCGTTCAAAAACTAGTCCCAATAAATTGTAAAGGACGATATTTAATAAAAATACCCGATATATAGAAATCAGCTTTTCGTTTTCAAAGTTATTTCATGTTGACATACCGACTTAAAAGATGGTGCACCCTGTATTTGCTGACTTTATTTGTAGTGAGATTTCAAAATGAATTTTTCATTAAAATTTGAGATATTTTTATTACATGCAATGCTATGTAGGCACTTGTATTAAAATAGAAAAGGCCCCCAAAAAAAGGTCGATTCAAATCTGAATCAACTTTTTCAGGAAATTTTAAAAGATTTATTTATTATTCAGTGTAAACGTATTAAGAGGGAATAGCATGATTTGAATAATATACAGTTACATTTTTTCCGCTTACTGGGGCGTAATTTCAGCTGTTCAAATTGGCAAGATCACTTTCCATTTGTTTGCAAATTATTCGCAATATTAGGTTGTTCGGAAAGTTCTTGCTGTTTTCAACCTTCAAATTCAAAGGGCGATATCTCAGCTTGAACAAAACTTTATTAATCAAAATAAAAACCGTTAGGATCGGTAGACTTTTGTCAACAAGAAACAACCGCTAACGTAGAAATCCGTAGTTTTGGAGGCGATGAAATCATTGAAGCCTTTTTTGGCATCGTCATGGTTAGATAGATAGATAGTCTTTATTATCTTTTGGTCATAAATAGCTATGACATAAGACTTGTCAACATTACATATACAATACATAAGTATGCGATACGCAAAAAAGAACAGGTAGTTAATTAAAACGGTTATTGAGATAATAAATAATAAACAAATAAATGAATAAAATAGGAGTCATTACAAACACAAACATATTCTTAATGACATCTAACGAACATGAAAAAAAAAATCAATTTTAAATAAATAAAAACAATTGAGCACTTAAATGTCTAGAAGAGGAGCAAGAAATAGACTGTTTCTTTTCCGTTAAGCTTAATAAATAAATAAAAAGAATAAATAAATAAAATTAAGCAGTTAGGTATTCGTCGACGGTGTAGTAACACTTTTCTGATAGATATCTTCTCAGACGTTTCTTTAATGTCAACATATTAGTGCTTCTGCGGAACTCAATTGTAAATTTTTGTACAGGCATAGAGTGGTGATTTCTGAAACTGGGCTGTTGCGTGGACTGGTATACTTAAGTCAAAACCTATTCTGGTGTTGTAGTGCCTGTTAACTGTGTTGTTTTGAATAAAACTGGTCCTATGTTTAAATGCGAAGAGAGCGCATTTATATGTATATAGATGGTTATTGAAGCGTTTCTCGCGAGAGAATTTGTCGGGGTGTTTGAAAAAGTGGTAGTCGGCGGGCGAGCGATCCGGCGAATACGGTGGATGTAGCAGAGTTTCATGGCCCGATTCGTTCAGCTTTTGCAGGGTCGGTTGTTCGACGTGTGGCCGACGTTGTCGTGGAGGAGAATTGGTCCCTTCGTATTGACCAATGTAGGGCACATACTTCGGAGCTTTTGATGCATTTCACTGATTTGCTGGCAGTACTTCTCCGCCGCAATCGTTTCGCCCGGATTTAGAATGTTGTGTTGGATGAGATCGGGTGTAGACCACTAAACAGTCACCATAAGCTTTTTCGGTTGGAGTTTCGGCTCCGGGAAGTGTCGAACCATTGCGCAGAACGTCGTGTATTGTCGTAGAGAATCCACTTTCATCACATGTCTCAATCCGGTCGAGAAACGGGTCACTTTTATTGCATGTAAGAATGGCAGGCGGCACCTCAAAATGACGATTTTTTTTGTTCGCTAAGTTCGTGCGGTACCGGATTATCGAGCTTTTTTTACTTTCCGATCCGTTTCAAGTGGTCGAAAACGGTCGCAATACCCACACCAAGCTCCTACGCAAGTTTACGAACAGTTGTGCTTGGGCTTGCTTCCACAAGGGCCTTTAATTCCTCGTCGCCATCATTTTTTTATACTCCAACTACCACGAAGGCCTAAGGCCTAAGCACCCATTGGGGCTATAGGGGGATACAGGGGAAAGGGGGAACGCCACACGGACTCGTGGGCGTGCAACATGCACACGTTCTGGCTCCGCCTACGAGATCCGCCGGGTGGTACCTCCGCGTTCGACAGTCAGAGACCACCTACCACCTACGGACAATCACAACATCCATAGCCAAGATAAATATTTCTCCTGGGACGGGGTTCGAACCCGCACAGCGCACGGCGACTGATCAGGTGACCGAAGAGTCTACTATACAGGGTGTCCGCAAAGTTGGGGTTTTCCTTTACACGACGTGTAGATCTTGAAACCATAAGCAATTTTTCTTAGTACCATATACACCAATGTCTTAAGGGAACCGAGATAAAGGGCTCTGCAACATAAAAAATATCTGAATACCGTCCTGTAGCCGCGACTCGCGATATCCCCGAGTGGTACTAGGACACTAGCTCAACCCGACGACAGAACTGGGTCGGGGTCAGTGTCTCAGGTCAGTATGCAACCTTCAACCGACGGTTACGGTCACGCGTGTAGAGATAATCGCGTACACGTGAATCCCTCAACAAGCACTAGAGATGTGGCTAGAGAAGTGCAAGTATCAAAAACTAAAGTGTGGCAAACGCTGCGTGAAGACGGGCTGTATCCGTTTCACGTCCAACGTGTACAAGCCCTTCAACCTGACGATTTTCCAGCAAGAGTGCGGTTTTGTGAGTGGTTGTTGCATCAACATGACAATAATCCGGACTTTTTGAAGTGCATATTGGCGACAGACGAATGTACGTTCACGCGTAATGGGGTGAATAACTTTCGTTTGGTCAGTAGAAAATCCGCACGCTGTCCGTCGGGCACATTTTCAACAAACATTTTCGGTGAATGTTTGGGCTGGCATGGTGAACGGTATGCTCATTGGACCATTTATTCTCCCAAATCGATTGGACGGGATGCAATACCTAGACTTTTTACGCAACATTTTGCCTTCCTTGTTAGAAGATGTGCCATTAAGTGTAAGACAATCAATGTGGTTTCTGCACGATGGTCATATTTGTTACCTCTGTTCGTGGTCTGCACCACCGCCGGCGTCTGCTCGGTAGCGCATCAACTGATTTCATTTTCTGTTGGAGCGGTATGATTTCGGGCAGAGACGTACTTAGCCCTTTTCGTCAACTGGAGAGTGAGTACTTTTTCCTTTATTTTTTTTTACTTGGTCGCCCTCGTTTCACTACACATTACCTTTGTTATTTCAAGGGTAGTTGTTTCTGAAAAGGAAAACCCCAACTTTGCGGACACCCTGTACTGCGGCCACCGCTGCTGTCTAGTGGCCGTACGTTCGTTAGTGGTTCGTCGGCCAAATGCATCGTTGATATCGCGAGCTGTCTCGGCAGCTTTTCGACCTAATTTGAAGAAGAATAAGAACGTCGTGCGAACTTGCCCTATATACAGGGTGACTTTGAAATTGAGTAATTAATTTTCAGATAATGATTGTAGAAGGAAGATAAACCAAAATATGTGTGTAAAAATAAAAAAAAAATTTAAAAATAAATGTTACCTTGTTTTATAAAGTATCCTCCCGACAAGTATTTCAGTGCGAACCTGTATTTGATCGTGAGGTCCCCTGTGAGGTCTTAAGTCACCTGATTCACGAGCCCGTTGAATACATTAACAAAGGCACGAGGGGTTGGTTGCACTCGATTGGGAAACCGATCCGCATAAACATGTGCCATGTTTTATTTCGTTTGAGCCACGCAACAGACACTATTCACATGCGTTAGCGACTGACATTGACTGTATGTATAACTGAACTGAATAAAATAATTGTAAAAACATCGTTCCAAATTCTTTCGCTTTTTTGTTTCCGATGCGATGAACCGATCAGGCGGATTATATCCGTTGTCGCCAAACACGAGCACATGATATTATTATTGAGACAGGGCGGTACTCAAACTTCCAAAGGGCTATAACTTTGTTATTTTAATTTTACCAGAAAAATGGTAAAGGAAAAAAACATTTCTTTTGATCAGATCTACTCACTGTTAAAATAAATGACTCAACTTCGAAGTCACCCTGTATAGAGTCCAGAAAACAAATACAAATTATCGTGAAACAAAATGAATACAACAACGCGCTATAAAATGACATATAAAATCAAAGTATTTTAAATAAATTTTATTGTAAAATACGTCATTTAAAATATAAATAAGAAAAACCGCAAGAACTATTCGAAAAACCTAATTCTTGAAGATTCTAGGTAACTACCACCTCTTTCCACCCTGTCACTTACAGATTGTCTGAATCAGATGTTTGTGCCATCATCAATAATATCAAAACGTAATAACTGTTTCCAACTGTCTTGTACTTATTCAACTTAGCAAATTACGAAAATTTCTGTAATCCGATGAATTCTTTCCCATTGAGCAAATTGTCAGATAAATCGCGTATTCACGATTCCCCGAATATTTATATGCATTAAGACCAGCCGCAAAGATGGGGCTGGTGGAATTTTAATGCCTCTAGATAATGGATGGATAATGGAAAAGGAGGTTTTTCCGGATTTAATTCAGTCACGTTTTCTTGCTTAACATCACATTTTTTTCTTTTCAAGCATGCCTGTTTCTGAAAAGGATTGCAGTTTTCTGTAAAGAAAGGTTTTATCTAGGACGAATGCTGTATAAAATGCGGTCCACATTTTTGCGTACACGGTAACATTAATATTTTACGAAAGTTATTTCAAATCAAATGACAGAGTTTAATGAAGTCAACTTATACTGTTTTCATTGTAGTGCCAGAGAATTTAGGTTATTCGGATAAATTGTTAAAGTGCCAAATTAAAAATTCCTTAATAAATCTAATTAAAAATGGAATTTTCTAATCTATCTGCATTTAAAACAACAGTTATCACTCCTGTTTATGAAGGCGATGACAGAATCGAAACAAGAAATTATAGACCCGTATCAGTACTGTCGAATATAGCCAAAAAATGTTCGAAAAACTATTACAAAACATGGACAAAAACAAAATTATAATATCTAACCAATTTAATCTGCAATGGATGAAATTAACTCCAATGTCAACAGAAAAGTACCTACTATTGGTATCTTTGTGTACATCAAAAATGCCTTTGATACGAAGATTTGGATTTAGGGGAACATCAAAAATCCTATTAAAAAATTACCTTTCAGGTCGGGTACAGATCTACAGGGTGACTTTGAAGTTGAGTCATTAATTTTCAGATAATGATTGTAGAAGGAAGATAAACCAAAATATGTGTGTAAAAATAAAAAAAAAATTTACCTTGTTTTATAAAGTATCCTCCCGACAAGTATTTCAGTGCGGACCTGTATTTGATCGTGAGGTCCCCTGTGAGGTCTTAAGTCACCTGATTCACGAGCCCGTTGTACTACATTAACAAAGGCACGAGGGGTTGGTTGCACTCGATTGGGAAACCGATCCGCATCAACATGTGCCATTTTTTATTTCGTTTGAGCCACGCAACAGACACTATTCACACGCGTTACCGACTGACACTGACTGTATGTATAACTGAACTGAATAAAATAATTGTAAAAACATCGTTCCAAATTCTTTCGCTTTTTTGTTTCCGATGCGATGAACCGATAAGGCGGATTATATCCGTTGTTGCCAAACACGAGCACATGATGTTATTATTGAGACAGGGCGGTACTCAAACTTCCAAAGGACTATAACTTTGTTACTTTAATTTTACCAGAAAAGTGGTAAAGGAAAAAAACATTTCTTTTGATCAGATCTACTTACTGTTAAAATAAATGACTCAACTTCGAAGTCACCCTGTATAACACCCCGTAAACAATATATATCAAGTGTGGTGTGCCTCAAGGAACAGTACTAGGCCCACTATGATTTCATTTCTATTTAAATGACTTCTTCAAAATTAACAGTACTGGAAAAATTATATGTTTTGCAGGCGACACCCTTATATACTAAGTGACATATAAATCCGAACACCCAGTTTAAATGGTTTTATTTTAATAAAATTTTGTATAAGTACTTAATGAAGCATAGTAAGTAAATGATAAAAATTTCAAAATGATTGCACTGCTTTAAAGCCATTTGACCTTTAATAATGTATGGATGCACCCTGATGTGCTACGCATTCTCCAACGCGCCTAGACATGCTTCCGATCAGGTGGTCAATGTCCTCCTGTGGTATCTCATTCCAGGAAACCACCAACTCCTCTCGAAGTGCTTCTAGAGTCTGAGGAGGACGTTGCAAATTGAGCAATCTCCTACCCGTCATATCCCACACGTGCTCAATTGGGGATAAGTCGGGAGATCTTGGTGGCCATGGTAACAATGTGACATCGTTATGTTGAAAGAATGTGACTCTTGCAACATGTGTTCGGGCATTATCTTGTTGGAAAGTTGGATCTGCCAGGGTTTCAAGATAGGGTAAAAGATGGGGTTCGAGAACTTCGTGGATATAACGCTGCGCGTTCATGTTACCTCTGATGAAGATTAAAGGTGACCTGGAACCATAAGCTATATCACCCCAAACCATAACTCCAACAGTGTGATGAACATGTCTTTCAAAAAAAAACTGTGGATTCCTCCTTTCACCACGTCACCTTCTAACCCTGGCACGACCATCGTGCATGCCTAAACAAAATTGAGACTCGTCACTAAAGACAATACTGTTCCATTCCTGATCCCAGAGTGACCGTTGTCTGCACCAGTCAAGGCGATTACGTCGGTGTTCTCGAGTTAAAGGGAGGACCCAGTGTGGCCGGTATGAAAACAAGCCAAAACTTCTCATTCGTCGGTAAACACTTCGCATGCCAATAGGTCTTCCGTGTTCTGCAAACCATTCATTTGCAATGGACCTGGTAGTGGAGAAACGGTCCCTTAAGGCCAATAATCTTAGGTGGCGATCTTCACGGTCTGTTGTTCTACGGCGACGTCCAGTGCCCCTTGCTCTTTGCGTACGGCCTTCTCGAAGCCATGCCTGACAACACCTAACCACAGTGTCTACACTTCTTTGCACTCTAACTGCAATTGCCCGAAAAGAAAGTCCAGCTTCCCGAAGTCCCACTATACGGCCCCTATCAAACTCACTAAGTTGACGAAATCGTACAGGTCTCCGTTCGCTAGGCATCGTAACCGATCGTAAAGGATGTCAAGAACCAAAATCCGCCACCGTTGATTCTTTACTGCGGCTGAAATATTCATTTTTAGAGCGTTAGTGGATTAAAAAAACCAGTATAAAAACCGGAATGTCCAACTGATAGGGCTGAAAATTTTTTCACTTGTTATTTACAGTAAGATAAATACATTCACCAACTTTTATTAAAATAAAACCATTTAAACTGGGTGTTCGGATTTATATGTCACTTAGTATATTATATAACTGGAGTACACTGAAGCAAATCGCTGTAAATGATTTTGAGGATCATTGACTGGTTTGATAGTAACATTTTAACAGTGAAAAGAACAAAATTTATAGCATTTACGTCTTACTCAAAATTTTTACCTAGCTTCGAACAAATTTCCGTTCATTATCAAAAATCGAGACAGTTAACCGTTAAAATATCTTGGAATATTAATAGACTCAAAATTAAGGTAGGATAAACGTATTACATATGTTATCAAAAAAATCTGAAATATTCACTATAAACTCAAAATGTTTGCAAACATTTTTACAAACAGTTATCTGAGAATTCTGTACCATGCCTTAGTTGAAATCCATATAATATACGGCATTACAACCTGATGTGCTACCCACTCGACATATACAGGGTGGCGCATCGAAAACGAAACAGACGCATTTACTGGCAGCTCAGTTTTTTTTTTGGAAAAACGCTCAGATCCGTCGATTTTTTTTTCGAGGGGGCCACAAGTTTGACAAAAAATCACGTTAGCACGTACAGCCCTCTGGGCGGGGGTGACACCTATCTGTTGGTATGTCACTCTCCGGTTTTCCTCACAGCAGTAATGTTTTCCTCTGTTACTGACGTACTCGGCCTTCCTTCCCTCTTACCGTCCTCCAGAGTGAAATTGCCCCGATGTAATTCTTTGAACCACCAGAATATAGTCGTACTATGAGGGCAATCATTCTTTAATGCAAGCGTCGTTTCTTCTAAGCACTGGTCTATGTTTAAACCACGCGTAAAGTTATACCGTAAAACTGCCCTTATCTCACTACGTGACCACGATGCGGGAGTCCACACTGTACACTGTCCATACGAATGAACAACTAAATCAACAGACGTACAGCTGGCGGCTACTATGCACTCATGGACATGTCTCAGCATGCAGTAACATGCAGCCTCCTGCGTCCGTTTTTTGTCATATTGCAAGACTTTAATAGTACCCTTTGTGCAATTCACACACAGGCCTTCTGTGGTTTGTTCATATTTATTTGCCCATTTTTAAACAATTTTGTATTTTGGCGAATAAATATTATTATTTTATAGCAACTGGGGGAATTTGATTTAGCTAACACTCGTGATAATTTTATCATTCGTGCCTGAATTCGCAATGAAACGAATTTGTGAGTGGTATTGTTAGATTAGGACGTATTTTGGGTTACAACTATGATAACTGAAATCTTTCTATACAATTTCTGGTTGGTTAAAAAGTCACTGAATTTGATGAAACAATTACGATTACACGATAAACGTGCGAAGCAGGAGGACCGAAAAATATGAATTTTTGTGAGGGAACATTATTATCCCGTTGCCAGTAACATTCCCCCTTTATTCTTGGAAAGTAAAAGATAATGGTTATTCTGGTGTTATGTAGCTGTTGCGAAGCAATTTCAAATTAATTAATGGTGGTCTTACTGCGAACTGAACGAAGAGAACAAAGGAAAATGAAGCGTAAATAAGAAAAGACCGCCGAAATATGCCTATGAACGAAAGTCGTTTATTTAGACGGATTATATTTTTATTATCCAACCTTGAACTTGGCGAAGCTTTCCAACATTTCCTGTTTGAGTGTCACAATTGATAAATGTTTTAGATTATTTAATTGCCACATGGTTTGTGTCGTAAAAGAAGTTTTTGTATTTTTTTCATTATATTTGTATTTTGTATTTATGAATTTCACTTCTTTTTTTTTTTTAAATTTTGTAATTTTATCGACAATAATGTTATATTGATCGCCGCTAGATACAGGCGTTAAATTGTCGCGCTGAAAGAAAACGCGCGTTTAGCATTACATTGATGTAGATGTAGACGGAACCAACGAATTCAAACAGATTAGAAACACCCAAGTCTACGAGACCAAATATACTAAGTGACATATAAATCCAAACACCCAGTTTAAATGGTTTTAGTTTATTAAAATGTTTTATAAGTACTTAATGAAGCATAATAAGTAAATGATAAAAATTTCAAAATGATTGCACTGCTTTTAAGCCATTTGACCTTTAATAATGTGTGGATGCACCCTGATGTGCTACGCATTCTCCAACGCGCCTAGGCATGCTTCTGATCAGGTGGTCAATGTCCTCTTGTGGTATCTCATTCCAGGCAACCACCAACTCCTCTCGAAGTGCTTCTAGAGTCTGAGGAGGACGTTGCAAATTGAGCAATCTCCTACCCATCATATCCCACACGTGCTCAATTGGGGATAAGTCGGGAGATCTTGGTGGCCATGGTAACAATGTGACATCATTATATTGAAAGAAGTCTATTGTGACTCTTGCAACATGTGGTCG